CCCCCCCCCCCCCCCCCCCCCCCCCCCCCCCCCCCCCCCCCCCCCCCCCCCCCCCCCCCCCCCCCCCCCCCCCCCCCCACGAGCAGGATATGCCCGTAGAAGACAAGCACGCTGCCGTCGGGAAAGACCCGTTTCCAACCACGAAGCATGCAATGGGAATTTTTTTTTTTTTTTTCACCAAGGACGGAACTGGATGATACTGTACGCAGGACATCTCAAGGTAGGTACCTACCTCAATAAAAGATTATGTGATATACTCAAGACGCTAAACTCTGCTGGTGTTGAGTTGGTAGTGCACGTTCCTCTTAAGTGCTCATATCGGATTAGCTCGGATAAGGAGCGGGGAAACGTAAGGCCCCGACTCCCGTCACTGTCAGTGTGCAAGTACAGGTAGCCCACACGCAGAAAACACCGTGACCATCTCTGATATCGGCAATGAGTGCTTCTGATGAGATACTTATCCGTACGTTCCTCAAAGTTGGAGGTAGGCACTAGTAGCCGTAAGCTAGAGCAAGGTAGGCACCTAACGCTTATGCCACGCGTGGCGCGCCGTTCCCGCACGTTTCCTTCCCCCCAGGAAAATGAAACTTTTCCTTTTTTCGTCTCTCAGTCTCGCTAAGGCGCCTTGGGTTGACTTTCGCTTGTTTCCTAGCGTCTGCTTCTAGCGGCCGGGACACTATAATAGACGGGATATTGCACGTAAGGTTGCCATCCGGGGCGATACCTCTTAGCTGCTAGTGCACATCATCATCAACGATCACAATTGATCTAGGCTGGAATCATCGACGTGTTTGTGTATGTGGTGTGTGGTGTGTGTTATACGTGTTGCGTGAATTGTGCGCGCAAGTTGGATGGATGGAGGCTCCTAGCACGAGGGTACCCAGGGCAGACTGTTCCTGGGGTGCTACCTTATGTTGTGTGTTGGCTGGCTTGCTGCTTCTCTGGGATGCAGACAGACAGACACCTTGCCAAGTGTTTCCTGCGCCTTCTTACCCAACTCCAAAAAAGGGCAAAAAAAAAACCAATTGCATTTGGACATGGTGTCCATCTCATGTTGCTGTTGGTTACTGTTCGTTCACTTCTCCTATGTCGTATCAATACTTTAGCCGTACGCGATTAACGTTCATCAAGACTGAATTGATGATTGTCTAATTGTGCTGCCCATTGTCTCTCCTTTCCGTCCGTTCCCCGTACTAGTCGTAGCCGAATCACAGCGAGATTTTGCGTTTGCAGCTGCATTCCATCTCATCACATCCTCGTCTCATCCTCCATCCCATGCCATCCCATGCTGCCATCGCATCACTCACATTCCGCCTGTGCCAACGTCGACATCTCTCCTAATTGTCTGTTGGCCTTGTATCTGGATTAACCCCTTGACCCTGGCGAGGCTGAAGGTTCCAAGCACACCCCATCTTGTGCTGCTCCGACGCCCGACCTTTTTTTTTTTTTTTTTTTTTCCCAAATTCCTCAACCCTACCCATCTCGTCTTTTCTTTCGTTCCTTTTTTTGCTTCTGCCACCCTTTGCGCATCGGCCGTTCGTTTCGTTCCAACTCGTCTTGGTCTAGTTCAAACGCCCTGGTGGCACGCCCCCTTGGCCCGAATTGGGATGAACATCGGAGCTGTCGTCTCAACAGCCGCATCACACGCATTTCGCATCCACATGCGCATACGTTACCGCCATCGCTACGCGCGACCCTGTCCTTGACTTGGTCTTCCTGGTGATTCGGATTCTATGGCTGAGGTACCGAGAAGCACGTCGTCGCCCAAAGATAGGTCGGTGTGGTCTGTTCCCACGGACGCGGAGCGCACCACTCGTGAGAAGATCGTCAGCCGTAACCGAACGATGACGCGCTGAGAGGTTCGTTTCATCGCGGGATCGTCCCTGCACCTTGCTCCTGTTACTTTTCGAGGACCCCCAGCCCAGTTCCCGTTTTCCATAGCCATACACCCCCATCCTCCCCCAAGGTGTTCGTTCTTCTGCACGGCGCCAGCCTCTAATTCTGCTGCGACTGCCAGAGCAGAGCAGTAATTCGTACGCAGGTTTGATAGATGCCCTTCTTTACGGATATCTTTTGCACTCCCGGTTGCGTTGCGTTGCGTTGCGCTGCGCTGCAGTCCAACCAGACACGTCTCTCGGAAAAGTTGAAACACCCCTCGTCTGCATCCAACGTTAGTGATGGTTGCACGCGTGACTTTGGGGGAAATACGGGTATCCGTACTTCGTACATCCTCGGGAAATCCGTACAGGACCGAAGGCCGCGCAATGACAAGAGTTTGAAGGAGAAGCCGGGGGGAGACGAAGATGAACAAGAATTTGCCGGTTTGCTCCCTAATATGGCTGAGGCTGAGGTGGTTAACAATTGGCTTGCTTGCTGGTATTGTTGTTGTCGCTGCCATCGATTCATCTTTACCTCAACGAGGTGCCTTAGGTAGGTAGGTAGCTTAACCAGTCAGTGGCAGGCTCAGGCAGGCTGCGGCCTGCCAGGACGAGGTCCTGGCCCGGGTTGTAGGTGACAGGGGTGGGAGATCATCTCTGCTCCTGGATCCTGTGCCTGTCTTTTTTGTTTTTTCCCCCTTCCCCCAAGAGCCAAACATCGGACGGAATATTGACAGTGTAATATCTGTCGGCTTGCATATGCAGCAGCTTCACAGACATCGACAAATTTGTACTTTCCACGTATCCGTACGTAGGTACATACATACTTGGAATGCCAGTACAATCCCCTCTCTAAAGTAAACTTTCTCTCTCTCTCTCTCTCTTTCTGTCTCTTGGTCTTGGTCTTGGTCTTCTCCTCTCATCTTGGTAGTCCAACAGTAACTCTGCCCCGTGCGAATTGTTCTATTCTTCTCTTGGTCGTCATCGAACATCGGCGACCGGGAACGAGAAGAGCGCTAACGGCTTCTCGTGCAGGGATTCTACTGCTCTGCTGGCCTGGACCTTACCTTACGTGTAACTTGTAAGGACCCCCTTCTTCTTCTTCCTCTTCTTCTTCTTCTCTTCTCATCTTTCCACGGCCATTTTCCAGTTTCTCACACCTCCACCTCGACGAACCACGCCCTCGCGAGCCAAATACGTAGCAGAGGAGAGAGAAAGAAAAAAAAAAAAGGTGCACCCCTCTACCTCACGCCTCCCACTCCCAGTCCCTAGTTCCCTGGCGCCCCCCTCCTCCCCTAGTCGTTCCCTCTCCACGCTAGGTTCCTGACTAACTTTGCCCAAGCTTCCGCTGGCTTTGATTCATAGCACACACTCGCTCGCTTCCCACAAAGCGCCCCCGACCACCACCAACACCACCGCCAGTCTTTTCTCATCTTAACCTGACCTCGCTCCGCACCGCGCCGCACCGCACCCACCTCTTCTACCTCGTACTATCTCTACCTCTACTTCACCCTCCTCTACCTCCGACCACCTTACACCTCTACCTTTATCTTCATCTACTCTACCACTTACCCTTAATATCTCCCTCGCCCATCACATTCGTTTACCATTATAACTCCATCGACAACACTACGAATCCACCGTCGCATCTCTTCGTCACCCATCCGCATTTGGGCTTCATTTACCCGACCACGCCCTGCTCTGCTTCTGCTTCTGCTTCGCCTTCTCCCTATATCTTTCCGCTCTTGCTTCATCCGCAAGCCGATCTCACTACAAGTCGACGTCTATCACATACACCGCCGTGCTCTCTGCGCTTTGCTCGCATATACCGCTGTCGCTACCTCGGCTCGTCCAATCGTTCCCGCCGCACCGTCTCATACCGAACTTGATAGACCAATACCAGCTCCGATTTGCTTTTACCGTGTGAAGGGAAGAGAGTGGAAGACGTCCAGATGGATCACCCCATGCAAGATGCCCCGGCCGATGTGCTGGCGAATGCCAGACAGACGCTTGAGGCTTTGAAGAGCTCGGGACTTTCGCGCGAGGTTTTGCTGCAGATGTGGGAGGCCGACGACAGAGCACAGCAGCAGCAACAGCAACAACAACAACAACAGCAGCAGCAACAGCAGCAACAGCATCACTCACCTCAACCGGATGCTGCCATGGAGGACGCTTCCACACGAGGTTTGTACCCTGCCGCCTCCGACGATACCCAAAAGACGACCGACATGCTAACTACCTTCTTGTGCCCTCAGCCATTCACCATGGCCACATAGGTCACCGACCGCGAATTTCCGTATCCTCGACGAGCTCAGGTTCATCTGGTCATGCCAGTATCTGGTCCATGGGATCCGCCCAATCGAATGCGACCGTCGCTACCAACTACTCCCAATCCTCCCAGACCTCTTCGCCGTGTCAGCAATCGGCCCCTCAGGCCGCTGTCGGTGTCCCTGGTAGCATGCCCCAGGTAGCAAGCGCCCAAACTGGATGGGGTCCCGGTCGCTTCAACTTTTACTGGTGCACATCCTGCGAGACGAGATTCAAGCGCAAGTACGACTGGAAGCGTCACGAAGAAGAGTTCCATGAGCGTTGGAAGAAGTACCCATGCCCCGAGCCTGGCTGCAACCGAAGTTTCTGGGGAGCCAACACCTTCAACCAGCACCACAAGGCGTCTCACGGCTGCAAGTCGTGTCCCCACTCCGAAAAGGTTGTCAAGTATTTGAAGAGGAGAAAGTACTGGGCTTGTGGCTTCTGCTCCGCGCTCCACCCCTCGAGAGAACGCCACGTCGAGCACGTGGCGAGACATTTCGAGTCCGGCAAGACAAAATCCGACTGGATGCATTCCAGAGTCATCTATGGTCTTCTCCATCAGCCTCTGATCCACGAAGCTTGGAAGGACATCCTGCTGTCAAGGGCAAATGAATTCAACGGACGTCAGCCCAACTTTAGTTGGGACCCGACACAGACCGGCCGTGCTCAGGGCTTCATGGAGAATGAGAGCCCCGGTCAACTTCAGGATCTACTCGAATTCTTCTCGGGTCCTAGTACCGAGGCCGAACATATCGTCAAAATCGCGTACAAGCTCGCCGACCTCGTGTTCCTCCAGGTACCTGCGTCACCGCCCATGCAATACCAACAATGCTACCCTCCCCCTCCCACGATGCCTCAACAGTACCCCCCTCAGCCGCTTCTTCCTCCTCCTTCGATACCCTCTCAAACTCTGCCGACGCAGTCACCTCAGCCTCCTATCCTTTCGTCTCAGGACTCGTCACCTGGACCTTTCATGGAGCAGATGAGGGCGCAGTCTATGATGCCAGCGCCGTTGTTTCACACACCACAACCACGAGCCGCGACAGAACCCCTTCGCCGCGCGTCACTCGACAGAGAGTTACCGCCGCCGCCGCCGGAGACACAGCCCATGAACTTCAGCTACATCCCCGATGGCATGGTCTTCGAGGACTGGGAGAGCTTCTCGAGCACAGTCGTCGATGAAAACGCACCAGTACCGACGCCAATGTCAACAGAATGGCCGCTGATGCCTGTACAATATTACAACGCCCCCGTGGGGCCATGATCACACTCATTTTTTTTACCTATTTTTTTGCAAAAGAGAAGAAAAGTCGTTTCATTTGTCATATGTCACATGGGTTGCTGCTAGCGAGTCGTCCGCCGGCCAATCAGTATAGTATATAATGGTAATCACCTCGTTGGAGAGACCAGTCTCTAAAGTTTTTGGATCATCATTTCTTTGGGCCGCGGATACGGGCAAAAAGGTACGGACGCGGCATCGGATAGGAATACGAATGGCAACGGGCAGGCCAAAAAGAGGCGGAGGCGTCGCTCACGATAAGGGGTCTTCCATTACGGTTGGTGGTCAAATGTCAAATGCGATCGATACATACAAATCAAAACATCGTTCCATTGTACCGTGTCGACGTCTTTCATATTTGTCACGATGAATCAATTGCTTCGCAAACTGCTCCGGACCAGCGACGCATGCGCAACAGCAATGAAACCACCCAAAACCCAGGCATGGCGAAACGGCGACGGCTGCCATTCCTTGGTGAGAGGCGCCTCACCGACTCGCTGGAGTTGCAGGGTGAATAGCTTTGCAGACGGCTACCTGCATACGCATCACATCACTCATGTCCGAACGTCGTTTAGTCGGTCAGCAACGAAAGATGTCTTTGATCCAGGCGTTTTCCTACCTCGAAATCCCTTCCCGGCCCAATCCCGGTCGACATGGAGAACGTCTTGCATACCCGTGGATTCTAGTATCACGGCTTGGCATGAGACCGACTCGTCGGCGGCGAAGAATGGACGGCATTGACTTGAAGGCAAGCGAGACACATATGTGTGCTTCGGCTGGCGGCAGGGTGACAGCTCGAGATAAATTGCTCTCGGTCAGCACTGGTGAACTTTTAACAAGTATAACTACGACATAGTCGCCCCCGCGTTATTGAGGTGAAGGTCCTGGCTGCGTGCAGACTTTCCTCACGTCGTTCGCGGTCACATTCGCATCAATCGGAGTCGTCCATTACTTCGTCTGGCGTGAAGGGTCGCTTTCACCCCCGCTCGTCTAACTGCTTCGGCCTATTGACCGTGTATAACGATATCATCCGTCTTCCATCCTACTGCGATCCACGGCGCACCGTGGAATCATACCTGTGGTGCGTAACTTACTTTGCATTCACTGGAATATTTCCGTATCGGCCATATCGTTGTGTCGATAATACCCGTTCGTCCCCGTTGTATTGTCCGGAACTCACAGCTAAGCTAAGAATCAGCAATGTCCAAACCATTTAGGCAGGAGGTGTTGCCGCTGACGGACGTGGAGGTTGTGAACGGAGATACATATGTCGCTTCCACTCGCGTCGGAGTATACTCGCTTGCTCGCTGGCTGGCACAGCGAGACATTGAGGAACCTTGGTGCCCTTGCAGGGCTGCTGAGAAAAGCGCTGGCAGTCCAGATGTCAGTGTCTTCTGGGGGACTCGCAGGACCTATCGTCAGGGATAATAAGAGTGGGCAGTTTCTCAGATAGAGGCAGATCGAGATAGATTTGAGACATAAGTGAGAACCTCTGATTCGCAGCGACCATAAACTGACCCAAGTGGAATAGGTAGATCTTCGCTTTCACTCATATTTGACTTCATGATAAGGTCCAGGGAGCACGCCTAGGGAAACTCTTTGCGTTTTCAGTTCACATTATCAACTTGATGGACACTGAGGCCATACTATAATCAACATAACACGTCAAAACTCCTCATCCAATCTCCACCTGCTCTACATGACAGCCACCGCTTTGTACATAGATATACGTATATGTGTTATCTGGCCTTACCCAAACACGATATCATCGCCTCTACGGGAGTTGACCGAGACAAATGATAAGGATTTGCCAGCAAACATACATGCCTCGTACGCAGCCTAGTATATGTACCTAAAGCCAGCCGCTCTTCGCTCTTGCGTCCTGTCGACTGCTACCTTCTCCCCTCCCTCTGCTGCAGTCGCTGCCTCCTGTTCCGCCGTTACCAGCTTCTTGTTTTCCCAGATGTGCAGGTAGCGGAGAACAAGTGCTAATACGCCTACCATTAAGCACAGGATCGCGTTGGCGCTTCCACCTGGGACGTACTGAGGGCCGGTGCTGCTGGGGTACTGGAGGAGGGAATTAGTCACATTGTAATACGTTGCGTTATGCTCATAGATACGAACCATGTAACTGCCATAAATGGTGGCAGTGTTTCCTTGAGTGACAGTCAGATTTTGCCCTAGACCAAGGGACTGGAACGGATTACCGACCTATCATGTTGGCAATGGCGATGCACGCCGAGCGCTTCACAAGTGGCCGGGGAAAAGAGTTGGCAACCCACGATACGATGATTTGATCTTCACGTTGTATGAGCGCATGCCGACTCGGGGCGATTGTGTTAACTTACAAGCTGAGATGGCACCCATGGGCATGAGGAACATGGCAAAGTAGCGAACACCAACGACACTGGACCCCGTTGCGATGGCATTGCCCACAGCTGACACAAGTGTGAGGCAGCAAATATGGATGGATCGGTCTTTAGTCTTGGACGAAGAGTAAGTAACGCAGAGCGAGATGAGGAAGGTCGCCGCCTGCAATCATGTGTCAGTAACAGTGTTCGAAAAGACGAGCATCATCGCCAAAGACTGCATCTTACCCAGGCCGGAGCAGTAAGCCAGAGAGTGACAATCTTCCCATAGCCGAGCGTTCCGACAATGGTCGGGAAGAAGTATTGGAATGTCTGCGTCACCAAACTGATGTGCTGCATCAAGACGAATACGTAAAGGCGATAGTCGCGCACGGCCATCTTGACGCCGTCCCACATGCTTTGCTCGCCGTACGTGTCGGCTTCCTGGATATCTTCGATCAGACGCCATGCGGCATATGCTCGCTCTTCTTCGGACAACCACTTGGTCGTGTGAGGGTAGTCGGGGAGAATCCACATGGCAACTAGGGCAAAGGCGATGGCAACGACACCTTCCTGTTTGGCAGTGTTTGCGGTTACTATTGAGACGCTCTGAGGCAGTCGGGAATAGGGAGTTGTATATCTTACGATGATGAACAGCCATCTCCATCCTGCGATGCCCAGGTCACCCTCCAGGTTACCGAGAATGGCTGCGCCGAGCAGTCCGCCAAACATGTTGGCCAGCGCGTTTCCGGCATAAAGATAGGCGATTCTCCTGGTGAGTTCGGCGCGGGTGTACCAGGAGCTCATGAGAAATACCGCACCGGGGAAGAAGGGCGCCTGTACGAATCAGAGATGTACGACGTTTCATGGGCATGTTTGGAGACTCACCTCGACGAAACCAAGGAAGAAGCGGATCACCACCAAATGCGTGAAGTTCTTTGCCCCGGCGTTGCAGGTCGAGACAACACCCCATAGACAACAAGATGCCGCGAGGTAGAAAGAGGGTCGTACTCGGGTCAGGAGCAGGTTGGAGGGAAGTTGCATGAGGAGGTACCCAACGAAGAAGATTGATGTCCCCAAGTTGAAGTCGGTTCCTGACATGCCCAGGTCCTCTTCCAGCGTCCCTTGACGGGCCTGCGCAAGATTGGATCGGTCGAGGAAGTTGAGGAGATACACTGGGGTCACGTTAGTTTCCAGGCACGGAGAGGTCTTGATGAAGCCGTCACTGACTCATAACCAGCGTCGGCATGAGCCGCCTGTCGACTTTCTTGAGCAGTCCTTTATCAAAATCCTTGTGCCAGGCCTCATCATGTCCGGAGAAACGCTGTGCCCATTCTTCGGGGGTCGGGTTTGAAGCCGAAGGCTTCAACGGGATTGGCGCCGCGTTTTCATCCTGCTCGATGCTGGCCTTTTTCGCGTCCATCATGTCGGTTTTCATTCGCGCCAGTAAGCCAAGTGGTCGATGAAGGATGATTTAAGAATCGGGCGCGCGCGCTCTAGGGAACGGCTCGGATTCTGTTCTTGTACGCGGGACGAACCCCTTGACCCCGTGGGGTCCAGATGAGGAGAAACATGGGGATGAGGGGATGAGGGGAAGAATAGCAGGCTGTTCTGTTCGGTAGATTCGTCTGCCGAGGTGACGTTGGTGTTGCTTCTCGGACTTCTCGCCGTTCTACTACTTTTCATGCGGGGAATGGGGAAAAGAAGAGTGGTGATGCAGCTTACTTCACCTTGGCGCGATGATCACTGGTTAGCAGAAGCGTCACTGCAGTGCAATCTGATAAATGCCGGGGCTGGTGTGCCTGAGAGCATCATGATTGGTAGCGGTGTGGCGAACCAAGGTCACCGTGCATTGGAAGCCTAGTTCGAGATGCGTGCATGGGACGTTACTCCTCGCCGCGAGATCTGTTACCCGGTGCAAGTTTGCAATTACCTCGACCTGACAGAGCTGAATAAAAATAAACCAGAAAAAAAGGCATCATTTTGGCTCTTCTATGGATATCTGAGATGCATAGACTCGAGCGATCAAAGCGATGCTCATCGAGGCATGAAGCGTCCGGTCTCCCCTGCATCTTTCTCGAACCCTGTCATATGCTGTTGCAGGACTGCCTGCCTAGCTTCCGTGCAGGACAGCAAAGTGACGGATTTTGGAGACATAGCTTTGATTTCAAACAATTGCGACTTTCGTAGGGTTGCTGACTTACATCGTTGTTCTGCGGTAAAAGGTACTGCCGAACAATGTCGCTGGCGACGGACTGTGAATGAACAAAGCAACTGACAATTCGATTATCATCACGAGTACCCATGTTTTATGAGGAACAGTGGAGTGGAGACTGTGATCCAGTGAGAAAGGACTATTAAATTAAGTCAGGTATGCTGAACGAACATGGGCGAATTTGATTGTCATCAACTACATGACATTGCCCAATCTGGATTGGAAGTTTTCAACAAGACGAGACCACGCCAAAACCGAGCAAACATCACACCACCGCCGGATCATTCGCTCGATTGATATCACTCCATTGAATGTTGTCCTACATAAGAACTCTAGCTGGCGGCAACTGGAATGGATCATCAAAAGTTGTCGTCGTCCAGACCAGGTTCATACTACCTGCGGGAGAAGACATCTCCCACGAGCCTCATCTGCAGGATTGGACTTCGAAATTTCGCCCGCCCAGAGGTATAATCGAGTCGGGAGGCTCCGACATGTCTGATGCTGGGCTTCTCGACAGCTCTGACGTAATGGACTTGCCATCGCCAAAGCTTGCCCCAGCTCAGAGTCCCAAAGTTGCGCAAGACTGCAGCCGGAACCCGTTGGCGCTGCTGACCTCTGTGAATTTAAATTCAACGCCAGAGACAGCCTTGAGTCTGGTGCTAGGTAGAAGAACAGACGGCAGGCCATTTTGGGATTTGACTGGTCCTGTTGAACCGAAAACCAGGTTGGTAGTCGTAAAAGAGGACGATAACCAAATCCAGACGAGCAAATTTGCCCAGAAATACCAGCCAGACGTTCCGGAAGAAATGCTACCTCTCGGGTACCATCCGGATGATGATGACTATGATGCAGATACTGAGGATACGTGAGGCCGCATTGCCGCATTGGCAGTACACCCAAGGCCTGTTTTCCTCCGCATCCAGATGATTCACAAGGTTCCACGACAGTTAAAGTCCATAGTTATAATTCAAGCGTCATGGATCGTGTCGGAAGGGAATAGAAGAGGCCTGCAACGAGGCATACAATGCCATGTGGAAACTGGTAGAAGACACGATGGACCATAACGCATGAGCTGTATATCCGGTGCAGTGACGTCAAGTCGCATAATATTCTCTCATTCTCTTAATCTGATAATCCAACTAAAAGTGCGATGCAATCATTCGTCCCTGACATGGTGGGAAGAAATGCCCTCGACAATGTAACCCTTGAATTCACGTGCGGGAATGCGCTTGTCGAATAAGATGTCAAGCTCTTCATACGTGCGACCCATCGTTTCGGGAATTCGGAAGAAAGCCCAGCCAAAGCACAATGCGGCGAGACCCCCGAAGAAGAAACCGAGCTTGCCCTGCATATTTGCTTCATCTGGGTTGATCATGTACGGGATGGCGACGGTCATGATGATGCCAAGAACACCCTGTGCAGCGGTCGCAAGGGCGATGGTCTTTGACCGTACCCGTGTTGCGGAGGCTTCTGAGATGAGGACGAAGCAGACGGGTCCGACTGATAAATCGTAGGCGAAGTTCCATACCAGCATGAGAGATGACTCGGCCCACGTCACGCCTGACGGCCTCCCGGGAACGCAATCCAAAATCCCGATGAGAAGCTGCAGTACAACCAAGGCAGCCAAACCAGTGAGATATATGGTCCTTCGGCCGTAGTGAATCAAGAAATACCACGAAATGACGGTTCCGAGAAAACCAACAGCTAGGAGACATCGGATCAGTCAGGTCAGACAGTCACACGCGGGATGTTTCGACGAACCGAGAAAACCAATGGCCATGTCAAAAGCCTTGTCAGTGGGCAAGCCGGCTTGCTGGAAGAAGTATGTGCCGTAGTTGATCAGGTAAATACCGCTGAGAACTTGGGTGCAGTAAGCACCAACAGATATCTCTGTTCGTCTCAAGTTGACCCCCTTCAGGCAGTCCCGGTATGTGCTTCCCGCTTCTAGTTCTTGCTCCAGCCTATCGGTCTCTACGATGAAAGCAAGAGAAGCGGCCACGTTGACCTTCTCCGAAGCCAGTCGACGGAGGCTCCTTTCCGCTTCGTCCATTCTCTCTTTTCGAACGAGCCACCAGGGGCTTTCAGGTACGAAAAGCAGACCTGGTAGGATGACGAGGATCCAGAACCATTGCAAGGCAAACGGTAGAGAGTAAGCCCAATGGTTCTTGAGCTTTGATGTGCCAGCGGTGACGCCGTTGGCCAGAAGTTGCCCGGCAACGAAGCAGAGATTGACATAGGACGTCAAATGACCACGAAGCGCGGTAGGACAAACCTCAGATGCATAGGCTGGCGCGATGACGACATACATACCGAGGACGAGGCCACCAAGAAGCTCGCCCACGAGGAGCACAGGCAGGGAACGGGCAAAAAATTGGATGAAGACGATTCCGGCCGTCAGAACAACACAGGCGGCGAACGTGACTTTGCGGCCGAACCAGTCCATGGGGTAGGCGGCAAAGAGAGCACCGACTACTTGGCCGACTGGATTGCCCATAGAAAGCCCGGTCTGCCATGCCGCGCCTATGACACTCGTTACAACGAATATTCAATAAAGAGCAATGTGGGAGGTTCTCTTACTGATAATATACTGGGTCTTGTTAACGGTGCTCTCAGGAGGGTGGGCCAGTCAACTTACAGAGCCTTGATATTCGTAGCCGAAGTCTCGTTGGAACTGGGGCGTGGCATAAAGATTTCCCAGAAGTTGAGGATCGAAGGCCAGCATGATGACTCCTAGAGACACAAAAGCAGACCACCCTATCGCAGCCGGATAGAGTTTGACGGCCTGCGAGAACGTCAAGTTGTGCTCGAGGCGAATAGCCTCTGCGAGGGCAGCATCATCAGCGCAGGGCTTCGCGTCCGGACCGGTAACGATGGTCTCGATATCTTTGGATCCCATTGCGGAACTGGTACTGTGTGATGAATCGTCTATCCGAGAGAGAAGAGGTTGGACTTCATCTTCGGTACAGGCCGGGTTCGAAATGTGCGGGGGCGACATGTTCATCTTATTCCCACCCAGGCAGACGGCGCCGGGTCACGTCCGGTCGTATTCAACAGTCACGGGCATCAACGCCCCCTCATCCCCGGCAAATACCGGTAAGAGCACCGAGTGGCTAGTCTTTATCGTTGGAGGGATTCGAATGCAGCGTGAAGGCGATCGAAGCGACAGTCGAGATAACGCAAACCCCCGGTCAACAGGGGATGTGGTGTGGTGAAGTTGGGGAGTCTGGGGTAACATCGCAGGTCCGAGCCAATCCGGGGAAAAGCCAAGTGCCCCCGGCAACAAATTTTATTGCACGGCGCACAGGGCACTTTGCCGTCTTCCGCTTATCAGTAGGGAGAGGATGAGGCCGCTAGGCCGCGAGGGGTGAGGGGGAGTATCGGCCGTTGGAGCTTCATCCGACGGTTTGTGTTCAACAACCTCCATAGTGCAGTCATCATAATAGCGATGACCGGGAAATCGACATTTTGGGCGCAATTTGAGCATTGAAGTGTCCTGCGAAACAAATTGCGGCGTAGAAGTTTGCGAGGAGACAAATAAGAGCATTGAAGAACCCTCGCGACCCAGGTCTCATGACTTCCTTAACGCCCAATTAATGGGAGCTCATTCAAAACAAACAAGCACCAAGAGCTATATCCATACTCCATACGCTTCTCTAATGGAATGAAGATTTTCTTTTCCAAGCACCGTATCCAGAACCAACAGCTAGCCATTCATTTGTCCGCAGTCACGTTGATTTCATATCCGATCAAAACCTCCGTACTCGTCCCTTCCCAACCACGTGTTCCGGCGGCGGAGAGCATGAAGCGGCAAGTCCGGTCAATGTACAGCGACGAGATGACACCGGCGCGCGGAGGTCCTGGGATAATGAGGAAGGGGACGGTGGAATGCTTAAAGGCACGCGTATCTTTGAGATCATACAACCGCATAATGTCGTGTGATGCACTACCCATGGTCAGCTTTCAGCTCCGCGACGGAAAAATGTGTTGAAGGTGACGAAACTTACCAGACCAGATGGCGTCCGTTGGGCATCGCTCGCACGGCACTCACTGCTCCGCTTCCGGTAGGGAATTTCAGAGTTCGTTCCGGTGCCCAGCCGCTTCGAGCCTTGTGTATGCTGTACTCTTCCACAGTTCCGTTACGTCTACCAGCATAGATCCAGTTGCCATCCGGACTCCAGCATGCTCCCATACACCAAGGAGGAACACCACGTTGGTTGCCTATTCTTGCGACGGGATCCTGAACACGCCGGTCCCAAAGTCGAATTGGGCCATCGATGGCCGCAGAGAAGAAGATGGTGTCGGCGGTTTGAGTGGGGTCCATGGCAGGAGCAGGAGGGTCTGACGCGAAGATAAGGGATGGTGATCCCGGCGCAGGTTCTGATGGCTGTCCATCGGGTGCTGCTGCAGCGTCTCCAAAGTTCGACGCTGGTTGTGCTTCGGCGTTCGCAACATCCTGCATCAGCTGTGCATCTACAGCACTGGAATCCGCAGTTTGTGCCTGCACCTGATTCCTCGAGGCTTCGGGACTGCTGGTTTCTGGTGGCTGGACTGCTGGTGCCGAGGTCGTGTCGGCGCTGAAGGCATTCGTCATGTCAATGTCGGCGGAGTGGTCCATACCACCATCCTGCCCTGAACCGTCGTGAAGAGTCGGCATGCCCATATCCCCCATGGCCCTCGAGAATTCGTCATCATCATCACCACCATAGTTTCCACCCACGTTGTCGCCAAATAATGAACCAGTGTCACTGCCGCCAAACAGTGATTCGTGAGCTGGGGATGCCTGTCCCTCAACACCGCCAGAGGGGTTGGGTATTTGGGAGTCAGCACCGTTCACGCCGCCGCTGGTGCCATTCTGCACGGGTTTTCCGTTGTTTGAGCTGAAAGTGGTGTCGAACTTGATGTCTTCCTCCATCGCGTCGGCAGGGATTGGCGCTCCGTTCACTGGGCGTAGCTCGATGGCAGATATCTGGCCTCCACTACCATCGAAGGAGCGCTTCACTGTTCCTGTATTCAGATCCCAATCAAAGATGTTCTTGTCCCAGCTGCCGCTCAATACGCTTTTCTCGTCTTGCGCTAATGACAAGACGCTTACGGCATTGGTATGTTGCTGGAGGCAGGTGATGCGCTTGCCTTCGTCGTGTCGCACGCTTTGAAGGTTGATACCGCCGGACTCGAGACCTGACAGCAGCCAGAGAGCCTGGGAGTGTACTGCCAAAGAGTAAACTGGCGACAGGACGTGTTCTTCGTTACCTCTCGGGTTTGGGGGCCCTGGCTCCTCGTTCTCCCAATAAGACATCAGAATGCCCGCTTTGACGACACTGTCGACAAAAGGATGTCTTTGTGCCACTGTGAGAAGCTGCTTGCCGTTGATGGTACCTGGACCATCGTATTTGCGGATGTAGCCGTCGGATCCTCCTGTCATCCAGTATCGAAGATCGGGGGTGATAGCTATGGCGTTGATGCTTGTGGCCTGCGGGGCAGCCATGGTTGGGACAATATCGTATAGCCTGGCATTGACGGCCTCTGGTCGAACGGTCGGGAAAAGAGTCGAGATGGGTTGTGGTGACTTGCCCTTTGGAGACCTGGCACTCGCCGAGTTGGCTCTCGACCCATCTCTTTGGTCTCCCGAGGCCTCCTCGTTGCCCTTGTCTTGTGCATCGTCGGCGGTTTCTTCTCGGTCGCCATCTTCTTGGTCGTCCTCGTTGTCGTCTTCCTCGGGTTCCATATCGCCGTCGGCATCGTCTACATCTTCCATGACCTCATCTTGATCGTTCTCGGAGCTCGCGTTCGAATCTGTTGCGCCAAAGCAAGCCAGTCAGCAAGACCTGGCTTGAGTGTAGACGTGCGCAACTCTTACCTCTGTCATCGTCATCCATTCTGAAGATTCCTAGTCTAACGATGAACTGCCAGGCCTGATTCTCCTTCGGCAAGCTCGGAGCTTCCGCAGTATTCTTCGCGACGTCGGTCGTTTGCGCGCGCGCGCGCCCGGACAGGTTACGTGAAAGGTATACGCAGTTGTTGCAGCGACTATGGGGTAATTGATGAGTTGAAACTGGTCCAAAACACGTCGTCTATACGAATGCAGGTATCAGTAGGTGAGGCGGAGGCGTAGGCGGAGGCGAAGTTGGAATTGGAACTGGTTGACGGATACGTCGCGAAAGCTTGAGTCGCGACGTGCCCTGATGTTGAAGCAGCTCCCCAGGCCTACCTTAGCGGGGATGCGCTGCCTTACCCACAGTCCTCAGTACCTTAGAGATAAAGTGTCGGCCCGTGCACCGTACCTTCACTTGGACAACCTATCCGTGCCTAACTAGGTACCTGGGGGGAAAAAAAAAAAGGTCTATTTGTTGAAGTCGATTATGGCGTCAGATTTCGACAGTGACGCCTCTGCTACATGATGCCTTCGAAGACCACTTTCCAACACGCAGATGCAACTGAAGGCAGGGCACCGCCACGTACCTCGGAGACCCACTCACGCCGGCCGTTGGCACCTAGGTTACACCTACCCCGATTCGGCCGGTCGGCGACCGAATCTCCCGGGGACGGCGGCGCTCCAAGCGGGTCCACAGGGCCGGCGCTTGCAATCGTCATTCCTTCCACTTCGAATTTATATGCTCTCTCCTATATCCTGCTTCCCGAGACTAACTTCCAGTACATACATACACAATGGCCCGGGTAGTTTGCTGGGTTTCCAATGACTAGTCGGTTTTTGTTTTTCTTTCCAAGCAAACAGGCTCGCTTTCCATGCAAGTAGCCGGCCGAGATGTTTTCGGGCCTCCAAAAAGTAATGTTGTCTAGTCCAAGACGAGATGCCAAACGCATTGCAGTGTTTCTTCCACAAACAGTAGCTCACCGCTCAACCATGATTTCTAAGGGTATATCACGTCGATGAGCCCTCTTCCATCGATCTTCACGAGTCGCTGCCTTACTTGAATTTTCCAAGCAAGGCCTCTTCCTCGCCGTTGCAGTCAACGTGCGCAGCTGCAGCTATTTCTTCCGGAAACACATAGGAATTCCGTGGGTGAAATAACCCTCTTGATACACCGGTCTGTTCCCTCTCGGCAGCATTTGATCCGTCGGCATTCTTCCTGTCTCCTCCATATGAACAATCTCAAGATTGATGCTGCGTCATTCTTGTAAGCGCAGTCACTGAGTTTTCCTGGAGCAAGGCAAAAGAGACCATTTCGCTCATTTGGGTTGTTTAATAAGGCAATTCTACGCTGGGCTTTTGGCTTCACTTCAGTTCACATACCCTTACCTCATTGACACGAAATTCTGGCCAACCTGTGTTCTCATCCCTCACTTCTTTCACCCCCAGCAGTGTTGTTTTCCATCAATCATTCTTTCTACACCTACCTTATATTTCTCTGTTAGAGTACTGAAACAATGCAGTTGCAGTCCTTCATGTCAGATCGGGCGAGTACCATACTGCGATCCCACATCTACTCCGAAGCTGGGGTAGGTTGGCGCAGTACATCTGAGATTCCCCTAGCCGAGGAAGTAACCAGAGAGGTCGGCATACTTCCGAAGCCCAATAATCTCAATGCTGCATACCCGAGCAAGGATGCCTATCTCGAGGTCCAGTACAGCATTCTTCGGCATGAGGGTGTCGAACCACTCCGTAAGGCTGTGCAGGAGTACAGGTCCGCCCCTGAGATGACAGAAAGCACCGAAACATGCGTCTACACTGAGGTAATCTTTCCGAAAATGGACACAGCGACAAAGGGGTGGACTCAGATTAACGATGCGACTTCCTAGGTTTTCGTTCGCGGAGCCAACATCATCCGCCTCGGAGTCATGGTGCGAGTCACCTTCTCAGCCATACGCACCCGCCAGCTCGTCAACTGGCCTGCATCTCAGCGTCTTGTCCCGGGAACCGTCGTTGCACTCTCGCCCATCTCTGACAACTTCAAGACGCAATGCATCGTGGCTGTTGTGACGGGCCGCTACGACGAGGCCATCGACAGCCCAGTGACCCCTCCTCCGCTGGATTTAGAGATCCACGATCCCCAAGCGACTGCGAACACTATGGAACCTGACCAAGAGTTCGTCATGATCGAGGCCCGGTCCAACTACTTCGAGGCGGTTCGACATGTCATGGAAGGTCTGAAGCAGGCTGCAAAGTCCGAGTAGGTCTGATTTCCGCTGTTTCCAACGGCTGAGCACTAATCATCGATAGGTCGCCGTTTGACAAGTACCTGTTCAAAGGCGCGAATTCTGTTGACAGGCCACTATTCCTACCAAAGTCCACGTCTTCTTTGGATGTCTCGGCGCTTTGCGAAAGCACGCGGTCCCGCGCTGCTCCCCTTCGCATCCCTACTCTTGGCGATGTGCCTGACTATGCCCAAAAGAAGGCGGGTCTAGACGGGTCACAAATGCTCGCACTGCAGCGCATGGTCACCAAAGAGCTGGCCATTGTTCAAGGACCTCCTGGAACCGGGAAGACTCACACATCCATGGCCGCGCTCAGTGTTCTACTGATCATGCAGCCAGCCAATATTCCGATCATCATTACGGCCCAAAAGAACGATACTGTTGACGAGCTGTTAATTCGTTGCCACAAGCTCGGCGTGAGCTTTGTTCGTCTTGGTGGACAGGCCAAGGATGCGACGGTCTCCCAGCGGACTCTTTTCAATCTGCGGACACAGTCGCGAGGGAGATGGAGAAGAGATCATTTCCAGAAACGACTTGATTCCCTTAAATCCCAGGCTAAGCTTCTCCTTCAGCGCTGCTTTCCGCCGTTTCTTCAGCAGCTGATCCTGCCCGAGCATCTTCACGAAATTGGCCTGATCACCGGTCAGCAGCATGCCTCGATCATGGATGGGTGGAGTGGCTCTGTCGACCACATTGCAGGAGAAGTCTCCAAGCATCCGTTCGGGCCTTGGCTTGGAGACCAGGTGCTGTCTGCTGAGCCACACCGAAGCATCCATGTGCCTTTGAAAAACGAGGTTGGCAGCGAGGGAGGTTGCAATTCTGAAGACGGCGGGTCCAGCTTCTCCGTGAACGCGAAGAAGGAACAGCTGTCAGGCAAGCCCATCCTGATCTCACGTTGGAACGGCATGAAAATGACCACGGATCCATGTGACGACTGGGAGATTCGCGCTCGGCGGCTCTTGGATCATCATCAGGACCTGTGGGATGTCTCAAGTCGCTACCGCGGAACTGTATACCGGCACCTCGAGCAGCGATACATCGCCTCCACCAAAGTAGCTCTCGGGAAAATATTCGAGAAGATCAACGACGTCGCCAAGGAACTGAAGTTCGCCAGATGGCAAGAAGATATCGACACGATCCGGAAATCAGGAGCGCGTATTATAGGGTGCACAACAACGGGCCTCACCAAGTACCGCGGGCTCATCGCCGCTCTGGAGCCCCGGGTCATGATGATTGAAGAGGCCGCCGAAACCCGAGAGGCCAACGTCACCGCGGCATTGTTCCCATCTCTGCAGCAGATGATTCTCGTTGGCGACCACATGCAGCTGGCGCCGCATGCCGACGTGCTAGAGCTGAGCAGGCCGCCTTTCCATCTCAACGTCTCGCTATTCCAGCGTCTTGTGGAGAGAGGCGTAGAGTACTCAAGTCTTCAGGTACAAAGACGGATGGCACCGGACATTCGCGAGCTGCTCAATGCTTGGTACCCGCTTCTGGTCGATCACGAGTGCACCCGCAGCCAGGATACTGTCCCCGGGATGGGTTCTCAGCGTTTGTTGTGGTTTGACCACGAGCGTCCCGAGTCAACGAATCGCTATGCCAGCAAGTTCAACGCATTCGAGGCCGAGATGATTGTGGGGCTGTACAGCCATCTGACGACCAACGGAACGGAACCATCTGAGATCACTATCTTGACTTTCTACAGCGGCCAAAAGGCCTACATCGAGAATCTTCTGCGCCACAAGAACCGCAGTCGTACTGTTTTGCATGGACGAACAGGCGTGGAGGGCCGAAGAGGCTTCGGGCCGGAGGTCCAGACTGTGGACGGATACCAGGGAAAGGAGAACGACGTTGTTTTGGTCTCGGTCACACGTAGCCCAGAGGATAGGAAGAAGCCTGGCGCCGGTTTCTTGAGCGACTTGAGGCGTGTAATTGTAGCCCTCAGTCGCCCGCGGCGGCTGCTCGCAATGTTTGGGGACGCGCAGAACCTACTCGACTCCTCAGCCCGACCCATCTGGAGTGAGGCGCTGAACAGGATGAAGTGTTCCAGAGCTAGCTATGTCGCCGTATTCTGCGAGGAGCATCGGAGAGAGATCCGTATCAGCCAGCCGGACGAATGGGAGATGCTCGCAGGAGACGGGGGCTGCGGCATGCGCTGTGGACGACGGATGGACGCCCGCGAAGCGCCTTGTGATAGGAAGTGTCATAGGTAGGGCCGTGTCCCCCCTCTGCCGTTGATTGTTGCTGATTTTGTTTTCAGAGGTCCTTGCAGCACAGCATTTCGTAACACGAACTCGGACATGTCGACTTCCGGCTGTGCGCGGACGTCTTTTGCGTCTGCTGCATCATCGAGGCTTTCTTGTTCTTCAACGGAGGAAGACTTGATAGATCTGAGTGGCATCTGAAAGCGATGGGGACGGGCAACGTTCAACAGACAAGGCGGTAACGGAACGACGCGGGTAGCTTCTAGCGGAGGATGACAGCCCTTGCTGCCCGTTATCTGGCTGAGGTAGCAAACATGGACGGATGTATCGAACGAGAACTTCGCAATGCCAAGTGACAATGGCCACGAACGACTGTTCTCACGTCTCTCTTGACGAGAATGGCAAGATCCGGCCGCAACAAAACGGCCCATGCACTTGATTGATGCGAACCGAGTCCAGAGGAATGGTTCAACTGACGTTCGAACCGTTCGCCAATCGTGTCGGAAATACAAGACCCAGGAGTCGGGGTCATAGCATGGGGCCGGTTTGGTCTGAAGGGAAACATTCTGGAAACCTGTCCAAGCGGTGGTCAGTGGTCAGGAAGGTCTGGTCCGGCCGGCTGGCTTATCGATAGCTTATCGGCGCAACAGCCAGCTGGATTCTTCTCTTTTTTGTTTTTATTTTTTGCGTCGCTGCTGACCTGCCTCAGGCCATGATGACCTCGTCTTAGGTGTCCGGGTAAGGTATCAACAACCTGACCAACGCTTAACTGCACACCCCCGTGGCAGGCGGCGGTACCATAGGTGGCAGACCGGGGGATGCTGTAACTTACCTACCGGGCTGCGACCCGTCTGCACACATCCCGCCTGCCACACACGCACGCACGCACTCACGCGCACGAGGCGCCGGGATGGTACGGGCCACCCGCTGCGGAAAGGAAGCAACGATTTTTTTCTTCAGTGCAAGCGTCAGCATTATTCACCAAACGGTTGAGATTTTTTCTTCCATTCCAACCGTCACATTAATGAGGCAGGCAGTAGGGCATACTTGAGGGGGGCGTGCCTGCAGCTACCTCACCTGCAGAAGAAGACTGGAAACACGACCAATGCATCTTGTTTCTGTTGGGAATCGTGAAAAATCATCCCTAAGCACAAATACATGACCATGTTTCGCTTTCAGAGGGAGTGTCACGTTGACCATGGGTAGAAAGCAACATGCTGCGCCTAGAAGATGTTCAGTGTGTAAATAACGAGCGTTACAAAAGGGACGGACATTGTTCAACTGACTCGATGAAGATGCCCTCCCTCCGTGACTTGACTATGGGCCGGGTAAGAGTCACTCACTCATTCAGCTCCGAGTATAACTTACTCCATGGAAGCCAGGATGATGGACTGTGTTACAAGTAATAATCGTAATTGGATAGCAATGACAATATGCATCATTTGACGAATAAATCAAGTACGTTGAGACCTACAGTCATCTTTCACTCACCTAACCCTCTGCAGTAAGGTAAGCCACGACTGCCCCAATGACGCGCGTGAGGTGCGCCCCAAGCTGCTTCGGTTCTCCCGGGACCGGGATAGCCCCGCCCGCGCCGACGCGACGGTGCAGTGGAGCAAGGGCCTTTTGACACCTGCGCTGGTCTCGATCCGAACGTCCCGCCCGCGTCGTCGATCAGCTCAACCGAGTGCTCCGCTAAGAGCCTATCACGGCAGTGGCAGGGGTTCACCCTCGACGACACGCCCCTCCAAAGCAGCTTTGGTCGTTTTCGTTACCTTAATTTCGCATCACCGTAGGGCTGAACCAGGGGGTACGCATTCCAAAGACGACGCCAACAACGGCTTCATCTTGCATCAATCCATGTGGCCAACTCACTGCCATTACTCACTGCCATTATTGGCTTATACACCTTCACCTCGGTGTTGCTGTTGATTTCACAATTGTGCTTCTTGATTATGCCTGTCACGGCATGTGTACTGTCTGAGGTAATAGTGCCCCCAGGGAGACTGATGGGCAACCAAGTCCCGAGATCCGTTCTCTCTTCTACCCTCCGTATCCGCCGACCGTGTATAATGACCACGCCGGCCAAGTCACGTAATCCTGCCCCGACCAGAAACCAAATGCCTCCCGATCGCAATCTCATAACAAAGGGGGTATGATGACCAATTGACCCAGATGCAAACGTACAAGATGAGGAGGAAAAACAAAACCCAACAAAAGAAAAATGGTATGGAGTGGGGTGACATGACTGGGGTAATCAGATTTCTGTCGCACTCCGGGTATCGTGGTAGTAATCCCTTATGCTCTGACATGTCGAAGGCTATGACCGTGATGGGATGCTGGATGTAATGCGAAACTTCCCCAAAATGAAAAACAGACGACGAGGAAATCCACCCATGAACACAGCATGTATGCCGGAGCTATAACCAGAATCCCCAAGATCCTTGGTCGCCAAATACTTGAAAGACATTCCTAAAACCGAGATCGCTGATGCAAAAACCGAAAATTTGAGAAACGGAAATGGTAGAGTTGTTGTGCTGGCCGTGTATCGTGATATGGCTGGACAAAGTGGTGTCATAGAAAGGCGTTATCATGGAAATAAACGATGTATCAGGTTTTCCTCATGAGAGTACAGATCATACCAGATGATCCATCAAAAGAGGGAAAGCGAGGTGCTCAGATGAATCGACTCATCCACTTCAGATCCAGCCAGCCAACTTTGTCGAAGGCAGTCCAGAGCTTCGATGCCTTGTTCACATCGATCTTGCAAGCTTGCTGAGCATCCGTTTTGCGAAACTCCTTGCCCACCCTAGCACACTCCAGCCGCCGGACGAAGATGCGACGCTTGCTGGTGAGATAGGTGGCGCAGTCGAGGCGGAGATTCGCTGCTAGGCTGACCTCGTCGGGATGAAGCAGGCTGATATTTGGGTCGTCGCTAAGATCGATGGGGGCGCCCTTCCAGTCAACCTTCAAGCAGTTGGGCTTGTCGGGAAGAGAAGATGCCGGCGGGCAGTATTCAGGTAGTGCGCCAAAATCGCGATCCTCTCTGTTGGGTGCGACAACGCGACGAGCAGGATCCGGGGTGGCACTGACACGACGAACATGCCTCGTGGGAGGGCTGGTGCGCACAGGCCGAGGGGCCTGAGAAGGCTTGGCGACTCTATCGGCCTTGGGGTTGGCAGACGAGGTAGCCTTTGGCCTGGCTGAGACGGGCTTCGAACTCTTGGTCGGCGCAGACTTGGCGGGGGCAATGTTTTGGTATCGCACGATACTGTTCCAACGGGCGCTGTTCAACTTTCGATCAGCCCTGACTTGATCGCGTTCCTTCTCGAACCACGACTTCCTGTTGCCCTCGAAAAGTTTCATGACGTGAGACTGGAGTTGAAGGGCTAGCTCATAATCTTCTCTTTGCGGAGGAGATCCTTCGCGAAATAGACCTGGAGGCCGCGCACCGATATGCTCGTCGACGATGCGCCGATGCTCAATTGTCTCGGTGGTGGGGAACAGCGGTGGCTGGGTCGGGCTCGAGGCCGTGTCGTCGCGAGGATACAAGATCGGGTCCTTGGCCATGCTCATGCTCGCAGGAGTGTCGGGCACAGGAGGGTTGGCGGACTCGGCGATATAGGGCGAGACAGGAGGTGACATGGGCATACTGGGCTTGGTCGCCTCATGACCCCTGTGGGCACCAGAGACGGACGACGCATTGTGTTGGCCTGAGCTGAAGCTGTCGAAAGGAACGGGTTCGGGAGGTGACATGAGGCTGCTGATATCAAATGCCTTTTTCGAAGCGTCGCGAGCCATTGAGATTGTTTGCGACGGGATTTTTGAATAGTTGGAGTCCATTGTCTGTGGGATGGAAGCGGACGAGGGTGACTTCGTCGCAGACATGTTGAATGGGGTATTTTGAGAAATGCGCGCCGAGTCGATGAAGGTGGAAGGGCGTGAATTGGTGGGTTTGTCAGCCATTTTATACGGTGTCGGAGGGTGGCGAGGCAGACGGGTATCGGAGGTGAGATTGAGTTTCGGCGGTAGATGGAAGAGGATGGACGGCGAGGGAGCCGAGTAGTAGAAGCCGGCAATTGGAGGATGAATTGCGATGAATCGGAGGGCGTAGAGTCGTTGTGTCTCTGGTGTGTCGTCTTTGCCAGTGGTGTGATTGACTTGGGGTGCAAGCGGAGGCGTGAATGGGGTGGTGGTGTTGGTGTTGTTGTTATTGATGTAGGCGTGGGTGCCTACGGATAATGACGTCCACTGCGGAAGCTTGTTATGGTTGTCGCTTTACTGCGGCCGGTCGCTGACGTGGTGACTCGTCAATGGAAACAAGAGATGCAATATGCGGTTACTTGTGCGTTGGATTGCGACGAATAGGCTCGATTGACTCGAACCAATTCATCAACGGAGAAGTTGAGCGTCAACAGGGGCAATTGCTGAGGTGGTTCTTGATGCGGAAGGGTGGCGGTAGCAGCGGGCTATGTATGTATTCGTACGAGAGCCCGGAGCCCCAGGCGAGGTCGGGTAGGTAGAAACACTGTGAATGGTATCGATAGTGGCGATGGATACCGAGCGGATACTCAGGACGCGGGTTGGTTGAAAAATGTCTATGCAATGACCGAAACCGCGAATTAGCAGACCTAGAAGAGAGGGGAAAAGAGGAGGGAGGTCGTAGTTGAGAACAGCAGCGACAAGGAGAATAAGAAGGAATGGAAGTGAGACGAAGCCTGGCCTGGCGCAAAGCGGATGATGAGGACGGGAGGAAGAGAGAGGAAAGGAAGAGTTGGGTAGAGAATGAGAAGGGCCTAGTTCTTTCAGTGTTGGCAGTCAAGGTAATGTAGTAAGGTACCTAATGGAAGGTACTTAGGTTGGGCTTACGAATACTAGGCAGGAAAAGGTACTTGGATTATATAACTTGTTATTACACATCAGAGGTACACCGCCAACGTCAACGCCAACGCCAACGCCAACGCCCTCGCCCACGCCCAGGCAGACGGACGGAGGAAACAAGTGCGATACAGAAGGACAGTGACAGACCAGAAAGTCCGGGGGAGGAAGGACCAAGGACCACCACTTCCATTGCACCTGCACTTCCACTTCCTTGGGAGGGCGTGGACGTGGAGCCTGCCTAATTCGCGGTGGATACCGCTGGTACGTACTCTGCATCCCATTTAGCTTGCATCTGGTTTTGGCTGAAAAGAGTCACTGGACTGAGCCACGCCCGCCGCCCAGCTGTCCACATGTCCACCTCACACTCACTCCAACCTTGTACCATGACCCGCTCTAGCCCCCTCGTTTATAATGTCACCCCTACATCAGGGTAAGGTCACCTCAATTGCACCCCCGCCCTCTTTTCTCTCAACAGCAACAGCAGGTGCAGTGAACGGTATCAAGAGCTGTGTATCGTTTTGCAATTAATTGACGACGGATGCCTGGTTTGGTCGGTTCTTTTGCAGAATGGCATTGAGTTCAGGTACTCAAAAATAAGACAGCCAGGACGGCCCCAGGAGGATTTACCAAGTTCATGCTGTAGCGCCATGTCTCCAGCTTCTTTCTTTCTCGGATCCTGCGCTTGCACGCAGCTGCGCCTGCTTTCCCGCTCATCGAGAGCAGAAAACACTGAACCATGCGACCGCAATCAGGCGCCCGGGCGGGGCGTGTGGATAGCCGGCCAGTCGCTACCTACATACCTAGGTACCTATTGCATAGTCGGTAAATCTACTACGTATACCGATTCCACCACAAAAGAGTCACTCCCGTCGCCATGAGTCCAGGCCTCTGCGAACTGGCTCCGAGGGTGACACAGTATTTTTGGGCATACCTCACCTTGAAAGTATACCTTACCAAGTGCTTTGGAGCTAGGTACCTGTGACAGTGGAGGCTAAAAAGATACAAATGTATTCGAAGAGACATGGACCTTACTCTTACTGCCTTAGGTATCTTTGGTACTCCCAACTGCGGGTCGACCAGTCCAGGGCAGTCAGCGTCGCTCATCGTCCTTCAGTGTACCAGGTATCCATAGGTTCTCCTGCAAACAAAGCCTGCCCCTCCCCCGCCGCCAATCCACGTCAATGGTCAAAGACGCGGGCAGCAGAATCTTGCCGCCATCTCCCGGCTCTGGCCGCTGCTAAATTGCATTTGCATGGAACACCAGAATTCCATTGGCTCTTACGGATACTTATGCATTGGACTGCGACTGACTGCCTGCCTGTTCACAAGTAAAGGAAAGGTAAGGCAGAACAACAAACGCTGCTGCGGCGGCGGTGTCGACGGCCGGCCTGCCAGCCAGCGGCAAAAAGGTGCCATTGGCCTCGTCATTTTGGCATTGACTCTCAATTGACTCTATCCAGGGTCAATTGAACAATTGACCTAGCGGATCCCACTAGAGCCACCGGTTCTCACATCATCTCAATGACCCCGTCACTGCGCTCAACTGACCGCCAACCCCTCCGAACAAACGGCCAACTACAGACTCCAGACTCCAGTCTTGTCTTCTCACGCAAGAAGTACCTTGCCCTTGAGGTTATCTGTAGAGCAGCCAACCATCTCCGGAGCCAAGCACCCAAGCCTGGTCCATCTGACGGCACCTACTGCGTACCTTGGTACTATGTAGGCGGAGGGGTGTGTCAAGAGGGGTGGGCGGGTGACAGCTTGTCTCTGATTCTGCGTCTCGAACAGAGAGTCACTCGGTTGCCGCTCCATGCCCAATGATATCAGCCCCCAGAGGCCAATTGGATTCGCAATGAGCACAGTCTTGTTCAACAGCATCTGCGGTCCAATAATAACTAGCCCCTTTGAACCTGCGCAGTACTGATGCGCCTGGGGACCGCCCGCTTGCTACCTGATCGATACCCAAGGCCGGGGGGAGGGGTTGTTCAAACGTTTGTGAAGCCGGAGCACCAAGCCCACTGTCCAAGTTGCCGGGCCCAACGATCTCTGTGTTTTTCGTTATGCAGAATCAACCACTTTCCATCAACTAGCAAGACTTGGAGAGCTTGCCGCCAGGGAAGCCCACGAGGCTGCTTAGGCTGCTTAACCCGGCACGCTGCGCTGTTGGTTCCAAAACGGCGCATCCATGGCTGTGCGCTTGAGGCGGTATTGCTTGGGTAGATAGATACCTTAGCCACTTAGTCTCTGTGGCCCTATCCGCCTATCTCTTCCTCTTGTCTGTTGCTGGTGAGCGTGAAGAAAAGCCGGGGCAGGGCAAAACAGATGGGGCTGTAAGTGCAGCGGCTGAGAGTTGAGATGGCGTTGCGATTGACGACAGTTCAGAGGGGGGCCAGCTAGCTGCCTTTAGCCCCATTGAGAGCAAAAACATGGGATGGCACGAAAAGATGCCAAGGGAAGACGGCCGACGAGCTTCTAGCGTCTCAAACGGGGAGGGCTTTGCTGGACCCTCAACAACAAGGCTCAAGTCGGATTGAGTTGAGTTTCTACCTCTTCTGATACCGGTCCGAACTGTTGTTGCTAGGACCGGTCCAAAAGTCATGGTTCCATCACAAAGCGAGCAATGACAGAATGATTATTCGAACCGAGCGAGGCCAACAGATTTCGACTGTGAACCAAGCACTGGAGATTGCTGTTGAACAGCAATGTTTGAAGCAAGAGGTGACGTCGACCAGCAACATCAACAACAACAACAACATGGGGTCGAACATCCATGGGACTCTTCGCATGTTTGGCCCGCCCTCGCCCTGTCCGTTATGCAACTCATCGTGGCCCAACGCATGCCATGGGGCCAGCCGTGCGGCAGGAAGGCCCAAACAAACACACAAAGCGAGCGCATGGTACGCCTGTCATGAAACCAATCTGCTCGGATCAGTGTGCCTTGCATCTGTTTCCATGCTGGACATGACGATGGGCGGGGAGCAAGCGCAGTGCCAGTAGCCAGTCGTCAGCTTTTGACAAAAACAGGTGCCAATTGGAAGGAAAGCCGCGAGAGATTCGGCAGAGACACGTGTAATTCCAGAGTGGATTGGCCCTTTTTTTTGTTGTACCAGTTTCTCCTTTTTTGCGAATAGGCTACCAATTGTTGCGGAAAGCGTGGCAACAGAGAGAAGCAAAGTCAGAGGACGAGGTGATGTGGACATCAATGTCAACGACGACGCGGTGCAGTGGGCTTGGTGATGACCAATTGGCCAATGGCGTGCTTATTCGCCGGTGAGATGCGCAATGCCTTCCATGGCGTACCTACTCCAGGAGTCGGTCGAAGAAGCTGTCAATCTTGCACATCCAAAGTGGCACCCCGTACGTAGGCAATTGTTTTTGTACATGCGGTGAGGGAAAGAGCCAGGCGATTTGCGACGGGAACGAGACCAGGACCAGGACCAGGACCAGGACCAGCATCAGCATCAGGCATTGCATTGAGGGCGAACATTGACTGCACTGCCGCGGGCTGCCTCCCGTCGATTGAGTTCCAGCTTGGATCAATTGGCTTCACTCCGACCCAATGCGGCGGCCATGACTGAAAATGGCATTATGAAAACTCTTTCCCAAGAAAACGGGATACCGTGACCGTGACCGTGACCGTGACCGTGACCGTGACCGTGACGTGACGTTTCCAGCACGCTGCTATGCCTTCAGACATGCACTGTGTCGTGTCGGCGGAGTATCGTGGCGATGGCGAAGGGGATGGGCTGAGTGACTCTTCCATGTGCGCCGAGTTGCGGGAACGACTCATTTTGCAACCATTCGTTTCTTGGTAATGGGCGGTCTACTATGGTAGGTGATTCAAGATGGAGCATGAAGACGCGAAGTGACTGGACGGCGAGAGTGTGAGTCACAAGGAAAGCGAAGCGAAGATTATTAGA